AACTTAGGTAGGAAATGAACTATTTTGATATTGCACAATTATGTAAAATTATGTGAAATGTAACAAATTTATAATTGAGTCATCGTATCATAGCTGTGAATAGTTTCTTATTTTGTTGAGCTTGATAGCAAACAAATTTGCTAATTTTTTAGGGTTTCCATTCTAAGTGTTGAAACATGTAAATTGTAGTGAGCTTGATGTATATGTGTGAAATGTAACAAGTTTATAATTGAGTAATCATATTGTAATTGTGAATAATTTGTCCATTGAGCTTGATAGCAAACACTCGTTATGTTTATGGAAATAGTATCAAAGTTTACTTATTATTTGGAGATTGTATCAATTAGTACCTATGAAGGTTAATAGTGCTTTGTTATGAGTATTATTATGGATATGGTTTGGGGTGTTACAATAACATTGTTTTAAAATTTTTGAAGGAAAACATTTTTTTTTCCAAATTTGGTATACCTTGGGTCATCATAAATGATGGGGATTGCATTTTTGTAGCAGACCATTCATAGCTTTAATGAAAAATATGATGTTATTCATAATGTTGAAAAGCCGGACTATAAAGATTGGTCATTAAGACTAACTAATGTGTTATGGGCTTACTACACTACTTATAAAACCCCGATTGACATGTCTCCATCTCGATTGATTTATGAGAAATCTTGGCATTTACCTGTGGAATTGGAGTATAAAGCTTATTGGACCATTAAGATGTTTAATTTTAGTCTTGGCAAAGCTAGCTCCTTATAGAAGTTATAGCTGAATGAGATTGATGAGATCCGGAATGAAGCTTATGATAGCTCTAGAATTAGCAAAGAATGGATGAAGGTTTTTCATGATAAAAATATTTTGAGAAAAACTTTTGAAACTTCACAAAAAGTTTTTTTGTATAATTCTAGACTGCACTTATTTCCAGGTAAGTTTAGATCTAGATGGACTGACCCCTTTATTGTTAAAGAATTTTTTGTTATGGGGAGTTATAAATTGAAAACTCTGAGAATGAGACTATTTTTAAGGTTAATGGCCAATGTTTAAAATCGTTTTTGGAAGGGGGAGTAGTGGAAGTGGAATCAATCTGGTTGATGTATCCCCACTATGAATAATCATTGTAAACTCAAGCCAATTGTTGTATATTGTTGCTTTTAAAAAAAAAAAAACATTCATTGAGTCTGAAATTTTTTAGGTTGATGCAAAGTTGCTTCTAGTATGTATCCTTCCCAAACCTATGTTGTAATTATTATTATTTTTGAAATTCTAGGATTGATCATAAATTTCATATGTGTTTGCATCAATGTTTTAATTTTGTTTGTTTGTTTGATTGATTTTTAAGTGTCTAGGATGTAGTAATTTTTAGGTAGTAGTAAAAGTTTTGGTTTGTTTGTGTTTCTTGAGTCATAGCAAATTTTTCCAAGTCCAGAATCAAAATGTTTCAGTGTTAAAATTTTTGGATGTGTCCAAAACTTTTCTATTCTGCTAGATGCATCCGGACGAATTTGATTGCGGGTCCAGAAGCAACAATTATAAGATTCATAAAATTTTTCTAAGTGTCAAAACGTGTGGACACCATTCTTTTGAGTGCGTTTGGACAGACAACTTCACACATCTGGATTGGAAACCCAAACGTTTCAAGATTGGCAACACGTGTCCGGATGCATCTACCTTAAATGCTCATTAATAGGCTGTTGCGTCTTGTGTCCGAACTGATCAAAACACGCTTTTGGACGCGTGTTTTAGAACTTTTAAATGAGGCCTTCAAGCACCTTTTTCAAGCTTACCTCAAAATTTTAAACTCACATCACCAAGTGTACCTACATCGAAGAGAGCTAGGACTTCTACACAAGGTGCTCGAGAAGGCAAGGATAAGACTTTTGATGAGCACCGATTTTGGTAGAGTGTTAGTTCAATTATTTGTTCGAGAGGTTAGGATGGATTTATGGGGCATGTTAGGCTCGGGGTATGTTAGGCTCGGGGTGAAAGTGTTGGTGAGAAAGTCCTATAGTAATGCTGATGATGGTGGGGATGGGAGTTTTCGTGCATTTGTTAGGGGGAGGTTGATTTGGGTGGATCCTAAAGTGATTGCTCATGTGGGTAGGATGGACCAGTGTAGGGTGACCAATCCTGATTACCCTTAGACTTATACTGGGGATTTGGTAGCAAGAGAGTTGTTGGGTAACTTAAGTTTAATTGGGTGGAGAAGGATAAATTTCTACAACAAGGAGATCTAACTGCTAAATATAAGATACTGAACTTGATTTTAGTAATTAATATGATGCATTTGATGAGGAACAAATACATCTACCTAGAAAAGCTAGATTCTTTTATGCTATGGGCACTGGGCGGTCCATTGACCTCCCACTTTGATTTTGAGGGGATGATGAAGGGGTCCTAGATGAAAAGAAGGGATCTCTCCCTTTTGTGGGATTGGCCACGACATTGTGTTTGTATGTAGGTGTGGTACCTGCAGCCAATATGGAGCGGACCAAGAAGGTCATGGTCCTAAACTCTAGCTCACAGCTAAAACACTGAAGTGTGACAAGGGCAGTTGAAACACCGGAGTGTGACAAGGGCGAAGAGAGATCAGCCTGCAGTTGTCAGTGGAGGAGTAGATGGATCAGTATCTCAATCTGGAGGAGGATTCTGATGAGCCTGTTGATGAGGCTACTGACCCTAGGACTGATAGAGAGTTGCTAGTTTGCTATATTGAGGGGTCAGAGAGAGGCAAAGAAGGAGAGGAAGCAAATGAGGGCCCAATTGCCTAGGCACGAGGCATATTTTTAGGGGCATGAGTCAGAGTTCCCGGGACCACCCTAGTCCATCTTTTTAGAGCTCCTAGGATCTCTTCTATGGCCCCCAGTCTTTTGTGATATGCTTTTACTAAGACCTAGGGGGTCTTTAGTTTTTTCTCTTTTGTGATCAAAACCAGTGGTTGGTAGTTGAGTCTATAACTTGATCGTTTTACATTTTTGGTATGTAGTTCGTTAACACATTGTAGTATTAATGAATAGTGTCTTTTTAGTATTTTGTTGACATCATAATATGAGAATTATTTGCCATGCTTTAAATTTACAGCTGCTTAAGTATCACATAGAAATTCATTCTATATTTTTATATCTCATATCATGTTTTTATAAAAAATTGTAATTTGTGCACTTTAAATTGTAACAAGTTTGAAATTTATTTGGTATTTTACCTTGAGAACTTGAGATAAATAATGGAGATGCATAAAAACCTTGGTGAGTTTTGATCCAATCTTCTTGAAGGGTTCTTTACATTTATTCAAAAGAGTAATTTTATTTTGCTAATTCATTTGAATAGTCTCATGATTTTGTTTCGGTTATCACCAATATTGTGAGGAGTTGCTTGACTTTGAATTATTTGCATAGGGAATGTGTTGCCAAGAGTTCTTGAGATATGATTTTAGGTCATCTTTGGTTATTATTTGAGCCATATCTTGATTTCTTGAATATTCTTAAATGAGCCTGACGCCCTCAGTGCTTTCTAGATGAGTTCTAATGACTCCATTATTTTCATAAGGCGGGGGTCTGATGGTGTGCAAACTATTTTAGAGACTAAGACTGGAGCTCTACGTCATTGTCCTACTTCCAACAATGGCTCGGTGCCCATCATGCAGGATGTGAATTCGATCGAGGAGCATCTTTGGAGGTTTGTGACAATCTCGGATATTAGAGAGGTCGGCTCTTGCGAGTGACATGATACCACGATGGAGGGCTTTGTTATGGTACCCCTATTTTCTATGGACCCTTGTCTTTTGTATATTTTGGCCACACTGACACCCTTGCTTTTGGATACTCGCAGATGGTTGTGGCTCTTTGGTGCTTTTGGGGACGCTCAAACTCGATGAGGTGTCGGGAGCTTTGGTAGAAGAGAGGCGAATGCGCCAGGCTGCTGAGTAGTAATCAAGGTTGTGCACATCTTAAGGCCGAGTTTTTGGAAACTAAGGCTACTCAAGAGTAGGGGTAGGAATTAGGCCGAGCTTTAGACAACTCTCATAAGAGCCGCTAAGTTAGAGACATAGTCTTCTTGAGAGTAGAGGCAAAGTGAGGCCAAATTTTTGGCAATTCTAGTGAGAGCCGCTAAGTTGGAGACATAGGCTGCATGCGTGAGGGCAGAGGCAGAGTAAGACCGATCTTTCGACAACTCTCATGAGAGCCGCTAAGTTGGAGACATAGTCTGCCTACATGAGAGTAGAGAGAGAGTGATGCCAAAATTTTAGCAACTCTTGTGAGAGCCTCCAAAAGCTCGGCCTTACTTTGCATCTGCCCTCACGTAAGCAGCCTATGTCTCCAGCTTAGCGGCTCTTATGAGAATCGCCAAAAGTAGAGGCAGGGTGAGACCGAACTTTTTGGCAACTCTCTTGAGAACAGCTAAGCTAGAGACATAGTCTACTTGAGAGTAGAGGCAAAGTGAGGCCGAGAGTTTGGCGACTCTCGTGAGAGGGCATTGGTAGCATAGAATCGCCGGTGCATGGGCGTTGAGCGCAGGAGACGAGGCCACTTGATGCATCAGGAGGGTGACGCCGGTCACAAAAGGCACTGCTAGATGAGCTAGGCACATAGGCGTTGCACCTAGGAAATGGGGTAGGCGAGGAGGCAGACGAGAAGGTGAGTGTATCATTCTTATAGCCAGAAAGGTCAGTATATATATAGGCCCTAAGCCACCCCATATTCTTTACCCAAATACCATTCCTTTGGAGGCTAGAGTATGGAGGCCAGGGGAAGTCCTTGAATAAGAGCTCCATGGTGGAAGCCGCAACGAATGAGAAGAGAGGCAAGTCCCAGGATGATGGAGGCATCACGAGCATGGATAGTGATGTTAGCAGAGAGAGCAAGGGCTAGCAGAGAGAGCAAGTGCATGGGCACCATTGGGCACAACGCCAGGCGTTGGTGGGTATGGGCGCCAGGCACTAGGAAAAATGCCTATGACTCATAGTTCCAAAAAATCTCGATCGATTTCTACTTAGAAAGGATAGCTTAGGGAATCGATGGAAGATGCCCTAAGAGCATTGAGGCGACACCAACGAAATGAGCAAGCTGGGCTACGCTAGGGGACGCTTGGGCAGTATGGAGACCCCAAATGATGCCAGGGTTGGTCTGGGTGGTTGTCGGAGCAATGCCTAGGGGGCTTGGGCAATGCCAAGGGATGCGTCTATGCGACACCAAGGAGGCTTGGACGAGGTATGAGCGACACTTGGGAGGCCTGGGCAAGGACACCAGGATAGTCTGGGCGACGCCCTCGTAGGCAGAGGTGAGATCAGGAAGTAGAGGTAGGGTGACGCCCAAAGGTAGTGGCGCTAGCAGGCAGTCGAGGCAAGGCGACGCCTGTGCACAAGAGGTGGCTAAGAAAGGGCGCTAGGTGCTGGGTGACACCCTTGCTGGGCACTGGGATGTAGGCGACACCCATGGTGTAGTAGTTTGGGCGACGCCTTGTAGCAGTAATCTAGGCGACGCCAGGATGCTCTAGCGATACAATGGCTGGCATGCGCAAACTTTGTTGTTAGTGTTGAGATGCTAGTCACTGGCATTGGTGCTGGGTGGAGTATTAGAAAAGCGTAAAGAAACGAAAAAACTTTGAGGGGGTATAACTTTGCGATTGGTTTGTCCATTTGAGGCAATTTTTTTTTGAATTCGGATATTTTTTTTAGATCTACAAGTGTCAAATAGCCAAAGGCGATTTGGGCACCAAATTTTCCTAAAAAATGCTTACTTTTCACTAAATTTGAGTTTTAAACACAAATTAGTGAAAAAGTAGAATTTTCTCGTGTCTACTTTTTGTCGGTGGAGGTGCATCCTTGTCATGGTGTGGTGGGTCTTCTTTTGCTTGGTGGTTCATTAATCCAGTTGTGATTGCAATTGGAGGTAGGAAGACTATAATGAGAGAATGAAATTGTTTCCCATAGACGGCACCAAACTGATAATGCACAAAAGTGAATTTATGCACCACCTATTGAGTAATTAATATAGGTAATAAATGCAGTAAATATAAAGATGAAATTAACATAGACAATACATAGATATAGAGTGGTTCGTTCAGAGTGACTTATTCCACTTTTGAAGGCGGCAACGGTAGTCGAATGATTTTATTGATAAAATAGTAGGTGGGAGAGAGGGAGGGAGCACAAATAAGCTCAAGGTGAGGTGATGTGTCTCTGTGTGAGAGAGAGCTATGAGTGAGATGCCATTTTCTCATGTGTAGATGACTTATAATTTATGGGCACAAAGCCTTTGCTAAGGTGGTGACATGAAGGTCATGCTAGTAGTCTTTCAGAGAGGACAACTACTATTAAGGATAGATGCTATCTTTGAGTAATAGCTATTCCAATGTTTACTCCCCACGTGCATTGATCTTCCTAGACTCTTGAGCTTTGGACTGGACTAAATCCATATGCTAAACTTGGTTTGCCTTTTGATGGTTTGGACTTAACCCATGAACTGGGCTCATGCCTGATCTAAATCTAGGCTCGTCACGAATCTAATTCTTTTCTATTCATATCGACTATTAATTAATTTTAATTCAGCTCATTCAAGTAATTATGTCAAATGTTCTGATGCAAGCTTGATCATTTAATTTTTAGAATGTCTTGTTCGAGTTGATCCTTATATTTCTTAAATTAAAAGTCTAATACTAAGATTGGATTATTTCTCAACTAAACCACAACCCATATTTTTTCATAGGTTTAAAATCTATTTAAGTCTATATAATAGCAAAAATAGAAATAAAATTCTCATTTGGTATAACTACTGTAAATATGTTATAAAAATAATAAAATTCAGACATTTTATTCATACAATACTAATTAAATATTTTATCGTATCAAATTCGGCTATTCATATTTGATAATAAACAGTCACACTTATTATTCATTTTATCAACCTGAGTTTGTATCGAAAACTAGTTAAACTTAACCTATTAAGTTATTGTCAGTTTTGAATCATTTTAATGTGTTGTCTCTAAGCAGAATTTGCCAACACTCACCTGGATTTCTATGAGAATGTTCAACTTGACTGGGCTTATCTTTGATCACCTTATAAAGAAAAAGGAATAATTCATAATGGTATCTGAGTTATCTGCTTGGTTCCAAAAAGATGCCTCTAGGATACGGCAACACAAAAGAAATCTGCATGTTATGGCCATGGACTTATATGACTGCCGTTACACCGAGGATAGACATAATTCATAATAGTATCTGAGTTATCTGCTTGGCTCCCAAAAAAAGCCTCTAGGATACGGCAACACAAAAGAAATCTACATATTATGGCCATGGACTTATATGACTGCCCTTACACTGAGGTTTCTATTCAGACACAAGTCAGGATAGTATTTTGCTGATTTACGTGATTCCCACGAGAGGCCCCACAGCAGACCTCCAAGAAAGAAAAAAAAAAAAGCAAAAAAACAGGTTATAAGGGATCCATCCGAGTATCTATATAATAAAGTAGAACGAAGGTTAAATTTAAAAGACAAAAAGAGAGGTTCATATTATTTTAAGACAAAATATAAACACATCCAACGGAAAATGTAATCCTAACATAAAAGACTGTTCAGATCATCTCAAAATTTTAATCTAACAGTCTACAGTTAGTCCTGAATTTCTTTTTCCGCCCATGAAAAAGCCTCTTATCGTAAAACTCTACTCTCCTATCTCTTATACTTCTTTATCTTAAATTTGAAAAAACACAATAATAACTCAGATTAAATTCATTTTAAATTAAATGATCTAAATTTCATCTAAATTCATCAAACTTAATCCAATGGCTTACAACACATCCCACACAAAAATAAAATCCCACCAGGGGCAGAACTAGAAAAATACTTTAGGGTGAACACATTAATAAATTTTAATTATTTTTTTATCAATGTTACCAATGACTTAATTCAATGTAACTGTTATTTTAGTTGTAAAATTCAATATTATATGAAATCTACTTTCAATCATAAGAGTGCATTGAATTATGTCATCAAATTAGATCTAAATAGCATTTTTTATTTTTTTTTCAATTGACCATAGAAGTTCATAAATTCATATTTACTATAATTATGTGTAAAAATTCATTAAACATAAAAGGTTAAAAAACGATTTGCATGGAATGAACAAACAAAAGATAAAAGTAAATTAATTAAAACTTCGTATGAGACTAATTATTATCATTTTACAATTAAATTTGATTATTTTTTATCATTTAAAAGAATTACAAATCAATGACATCAATAAATATTTTTTTTCTATATACAAAATGGTAATAACAGTCTTTCATTTATTATCCTGTAATTTATTATATTATGACGCTCATTTCTGTACAATAATAAAATAATCCTACAATTTAGAAAAATGAATGCGATATGTCTAAAAATTATTCGGACATGTCTGTGTCTAAAAATTTAAGAATAATAGGAATTGCATCTAATTCGAAATTTAATTTTATAACTTGACAAAAGAAAAATCAAAATATAATTGGTAGGAATTCAATGGTTTGTGACCATTGGATGGATTGTAGACGTTATTAAATGTAGGGACTCACTATTAGATTTAATATCATAATGTATTAGTTTCAATAACATTATTTAAAAATTAATTATTATTTAAATAGTCGTCTATCTTAATCTATATCACTATAATACAATAATAAGGTGGACACAATTAAATATGTCTAAATTTTATTTTAAAAAATATATATCTAATATCAAAAAAAAAAAATTTGAGGGGGGCACATGCCCACCCTGGTCCAAGGGTGGCTTCGCCCCTGAATCCCAGACAATTTAACTACACCCACATGCTACCCATTTTCTTTAACACACAGTCCAAACTCTTTCTCTTTCTCCTATTAACCGTCTCACCTCTCTTAGTTTTTCAAAAATCATTGTCATCTTCCTCAGTCTCTCATCTCTCTATGCAGACTCCAACAATGGATAGAACTTCTTTAGCGACACACGATATAATCTGGAGACCCACTGGACTTAACCACTTCGACCATCCACTCTCTTCCATCCAAATTGTATTGATAATGATCTAACCTCCGGAAGTACTCTCGTTGGTACCCATTATTGTTTATCGTTGATAATTTTTTTGGTTTAGTTTAGTGGTATATGTTTTGACAATAGTTTATTGTTTTTAATTTTTAATGTTCGTGTGGTTTAGTTGTGAATGTATTGTCATTAACTGATTATTGTTAAATGTTATATGTTAAAAGTATATTGTTTGTACCTTGATTTAGGTTGATTTTGTTTAATTTCAAATTTTACGATAAAACTTTGCATAAAATTAAAAATATTTTTATTAAACACATATAAAATATATAATATCTCTAAATTTAGTGCTTCTTCTTCAAAGTTTGACAGTTTAACATTTGACCTCAATAACCGCATACACACCGTCACTACAACACAAAAGTCAATACCCAAATGGATAATGTCACCATTTTTGGACATGTAAGTTAATTAGTATATCGATTTTTTCAAAACCTTTGGTATAATATTTCATTAAAAACCATTATATACTTACTATATAATTTTTCTTCCCTCTTATTACAAAATGATTCATACCTAAAGTACACTGTAAGTAGATCTTCTTATCACGTATCTTAGTATCGATGGTTGATGTTTACTTCTTTCTTCTTATCAATCAATTAAGTTTAAATTGTCTTTATAATTCATAAATAAAATCATCAAGTTATTATTCATACCAAAAATAAATCACTATTGTATGAAAACCTATAGTTATCAAAAAATTTAAAAAAATTCAAAACCCAAGTTAATCAGCAATTAAAACAAAAAATAAGTGACCAGTTCAAAAAAGTAGATACCAATTGTACCAACAAAAAATGTTTAAAACTAATCTAATCGCTATGTGTTGAAATTATTCAAACTTCCTACCTTTGTATGTTGAAATTTTATAAGTAACATAGTGCCCTTAGGCACGGGCAATAACTAATATATATATATAGCTCACAAGTTGAATTTTATCCATACATATTTTCCTCCCAAATCTATCACATCACCCAATTTTAACACATGTTCAATCATTTAATATTTTATTAATTTGTAGTTTAACACAATATTTATTTTATACTTTGTCCAAAAATGATGGTGTACCCATATTGCGAAACATTTGTCGGGTTATAAATTTTGAGAAAATTTTAATGCAATTTTTAATTAAATAATAAGAAAAAAAATAATTTTAAATGATGTAATCAAATAAACAAAGAAATATTACTATCTATCTATCTATATAATAAAACACATTTTTCTATCACGTATTCAATCATTTTATGTCCTATACATTTTTCTTTCAAAATCATCACATTATTCTTTTCTATCAGGTGTTCAGTCATTTAATATTTGATTAATTTATAGTTTAATATAATATTTATTTCAGACATTATTCATATACGGTAATATACATATGTTAAGAAAATTTGATCGAATTACGTATTTTGAGAAAATTTTGCTAATATTTTTAAGAAAATAATATATAAAAATAAATT